GTGACGACGGTCTGCAGCGCGGCCAGTGCGCGCCGCACGGGGGCACATATATGAGTGAGAGGGTGCCGCGGACAATGCAGCAGATACCAGCCTGTGGATGTATTGGATGTGTGTTTGTTGCAGATGTCCGCCATTTTCGGCGAGTTCCCTACCGCAGTACCTCCTGCAGAGCCCTACTATAGCGGTACACGGCTCCAAAGTTTTTTTTCTCACCCTTTGTGAGCAGTCTGCACAAAGTCGATTCACTTGACCGCATGGCTGGACGTCACTGCGGAGCACGCGTCGCGAGGTAAAGTGCTTGCCCAATACAACTTTGCCGTTGTATAAGTCGTGCTCTTGCAACATTTCAGCCGCGCCGCGCATCTCGCAACGTTTAATCAGTTTGTGCGCTCAACGAATCGACGATCATTTAAGTCTGACTCATTTTCAAATCATGCAAATAATTTCCCACTGGGACGTCATGCATAGACTTTGTTTCCTTTATCAGCCAGCCGTTTTCGATAGAAAGCGAACTGAGAACGTAATTCGACGACACAGGAATGTCACTTTATAGGCTAAGCAAACTATAAATTTTTCTGTGAAAAAGTCATGCAATATGGGAAGCGGATGATTACAGTGGGAGTTCTAAAGCAAAACATTAACAACAATTTGGCATTGTAAAAATGGGATTAAGCAATGTGCCAAAAATAACAATCACATATGTTGATAACCAGTATTGCTTCAAATATATACAAAACAACACATGTGGATGATTAGACTTTTCCATTGACAAAGTCGGCAAGCAGAGTGGGAACTGCAGAGTCAAAGCCCACAATATCCATCATTCCAGCATCATCGGGATCAGCGATGGTAAAGCCGGTTGAGGTCATTCCCATTACTACGAGCTTTGCGTCTTTGATGCCAGATGCCTCACGGTACTGGCGTAAAGCCACGAACGGATGAACCTGAACAAGGACAGAAGATTGAACCCGGTGTGCAATTTAAAACACTCAGACATACTTCTCCGAAGAAAGTCTCGCAGTCAGTGTATACTACAAACACATCAAATTTCTTGTTTTTGTCCTTAGCCCAAAGCATCGGCAGAGCACAGTCAGTAGCTCCAAACTAAACAAAACGTCCAAAAAAAAA